GGGTTAATCTGCGGACCCAGAAGCGGCTTGCGTCCTCCGTCCTGGGCGTCGGCCAGCGCAAGATCTGGCTCGACCCCAGCGAGGTCAGCGAGATCAGCAATGCCAACTCCCGCCAGACGATTCGCAAGCTCGTTGCCGATGGCCTCATCATCAAGAAGCCCGTCACCATGCACTCGCGCTCGCGCGCCCGTGCCCTCAACCTCGCCCGCCGCGACGGCCGCCACCGTGGCTTCGGTAAGCGCAAGGGTACCGCCGATGCCCGTATGCCCGAGTACGTTCGCCCCCCTCCATGACGGATCCGGATTGGACACCTAGAGATGGGAATGGACTGGCGGCTGACACATGGACAACAGGCAGGTTCTTTGGATGCGCCGCCAACGGGTCCTCCGTCGTCTTCTCGTGAAGTACCGTGCCAGCGGCAAGATCGACAAGCACCTCTACCACGAGCTCTACCACGCCGCCAAGGGTAACACCTTCAAGCACAAGAGAGCGCTTGTTGAGCACGTACGTTTCCCGACAGCCGCATGCCCATGCTCTCCCGCCGCTGACACAATGCACAGATCCACAAGGCCAAGGCCGAGAAGGCACGCGAGAGACAGATCAAGGAGGAGATGGACGCCAAGCGTGCCCGCACCAAGGCTGCCCGCGAGCGCAAGCTGGAGAGGCAGGCGGCGAAGCGGAACGCTCTTCTGGGCGAGGAGGAGGAATCCAAGTAGATTTCGGTGGCTGGGTGAAAGACGGACTTCTGCTAGGCGGCCTTGCATTCGGAGTAATCGGTTGGGCTCTTTTCTGGTCGCATTCTCACAACAATCCACACGTGGAACTGGCCCTGGGCAGTCTGGTGCTTTTTATGCTACGTGTGGTGGATTATCACCACCTGATGACCTGGTGAGGTTCTGGGGATGCATGTATGGCATTGAAAACGGAATCTATGGGATTGGCCGGATTTGCGAGGGCGCAGACTGGTCGTGTGATATAAGTGACGAGCCGCTAGACGTCGAGACTCTTCCTTCCGTGATCATATCAGCTAGCAAGCATGGCAAGATGTTCGATCCATATGTTCCCCCAACTGTCGTCTGGGACTCGAGGCTTGCAATATTGTTGGACAGCATCACCGCCAGGAGGTGCACACAGTAGCTGGTCCACACGACAATTTCCGATCTACCGAGGACCACCACAATACTGGTGGTACATTATGCAAAGAGAGGCTACAGAAAGAGGCAGGGAGACGGCTGCTTCCGCAGGCCGGGCATCAACCAAATGCAATTGTTGGGTCAGATTGCTTCATATTGTCCCTCAAGAGTGGTGAGGTTGCGCCAGGACATATCAGCATGTCTCCCACAGCCCAATCCCTATGACAGGAGAAGGCGGGAAGACCGTGAATACTGCCATTTGGAAGCGTGCTCATCATCCCCAAATTTAGTTGATTGAAGAAGAGAAGGGGAAAAGGAGAGCCACAAATGCGGGCTGGGTTGCTGGTTTTTGATGTTCCCTGCAACAGTGCTTGGCTCGTGCGTTTGTGGCCTGTGCGCCTCGTTAGCCTCGGCCGTTCGCGGGGGAGCTTCTCCCAACCCCACTGGTTACCTTCGGAGGATGGACGGGTGACTGTTGAATCCAACTTCGTCACCTCCTGCATCATTCGTTGAGCTCACGACCTCGAAGTTCGGGACCTACTTGCCGATTGCCCCTTGCTGAATGACAGTGAGGCAGGTGATAGTTGCGTTTCAAGTTGGTACGGTGATTCAATTGCCTGTCATATGGTTTTTTTCCGATGCTAATGGGCGGTCTCGGCATCTCCACAGCTCCATCATCAGCATCGCCATGTCCTCGATACTGTCACGCACATCGGTGCGGGCGTGCCTGCGAGCCGCCGCCCCGGCTACCTCGGCCTCGATTTCTACAGCTGCCGCGACGTCGACGGGACTGTGCAGGACGGCAGCGAATGTTCAAAGGCTCAGACAATATCGTGCGCCGGGGCAAAGGAGAGCGGTGTCAACCACAGCCAACGACAGCCAGCAAAAGGTGCGATTGTTAGGCCACAGCCATTCGTAGAGCTATACACTGACGAGACTCGCCTCTAGCTCCTCGCAGCCCATCTGCAACAGGCTGATCCTGTTATGTACGAGATTATCGAGAATGTCAGTTGTTATCCGACCCAATCCACACCGCCTGTGCCCCTGCACGGAACAAAAAATGGGGGGAGCACCGCAACAACCACTGACACGGCTCTACGTATAGGAGAAGAAGAGGCAAAAACACTTCATCAACCTAATTCCCTCCGAGAACTTCACATCCCAAGCCGTACTCGACGCCTTGGGAAGCCCTATGCAAAGTCCGTTCACCGTCCTCTTCCATCTCTGATCCAATGAACGGCACTGTGGCTGCCGGTTTCGCTGAGCGCGGAGCTGACATGCAATTGCAGATAAGTACTCTGAGGGGTATCCAGGCGCACGATATTATGGCGGCAACGAGTTCATCGACTCCTCGGAGAGGTTATGCCAACAACGAGCACTGGAGACGTTCGGATTGGATGCCAAAGAATGGGGCGTCAACGTCCAGGGTAGGTGCCCCTTCTGTGTTCTCAATTCAGTTCCCTTTTCTGTGTATTCGCTAACAGGCTCTTTGCGTAGCCCTCTCTGGAGCCCCCGCAAACCTCTACGTCTACTCCGCCTTGATGGACGTCAAGGATCGTCTCATGGGTCTCGACCTTCCCCATGGTGGCCACCTCTCCCACGGATACCAAACCCCGTCTAAGAAGATCTCCTTCATTTCCAAGTACTTCGAGACCCTCCCATACCGCCTCGACGAGGCGACGGGCTACATCAACTACGATAAGCTGGAGGAGATGGCCATTGCGTACCGGCCAAAGATTATCGTCGCTGGTGCCTCGGCATACAGCAGACTGATAGATTACGCACGCATGCGTGAGATCTGCAACAAGGTCAACGCCTACTTGCTTGCCGATATGGCGCACATTTCCGGTTTGGTTGCCGCCAAGGTCATGCCGGGTCCTTTCGGATATGCCGACATTGTCACGACTACTAGCCACAAGTCTCTCCGCGGACCCCGCGGTGCCCTCATCTTCTTCCGCAAGGGTGTGCGTAGCACTAACCCCAAGACGGGAGCTGAGGAGCTTTACAATCTGGAGAACCCCATCAACACATCTGTCTTTCCGGGCCATCAGGGCGGCCCCCACAATCATACCATTGCCGCGTTGGCCGTCGCGCTTAAGCAGGCGCAGACCCCAGAGTTCCGAGCATACCAGTCTCGGGTCCTGAGCAACGCCAAAGCGCTGGCACGTCGCCTTGGCGAGCCCAAGGAGAAGGGAGGACTGGGCTATTCGCTGGTGAGCGGCGGCACAGACAACCACCTCATCCTGGTTGACCTGAAGCCTCAAGGCATCGATGGAGCGCGTGTCGAGCGCGTGCTGGAGCTGGTAGGCGTGGCCTCCAACAAGAACACGGTTCCTGGTGACAAATCGGCGCTCACGCCTGGTGGTCTCCGCATGGGAACCCCGGCCATGACGACCCGCGGCTTCAACGAGGAGGACTTTGCCCGTGTTGGCGACATTGTTGATCGTGCCGTGACCATTGCCATTCGTGTGGACAAGGCAGCCCGCAAGGCGGCTGAGGACAAGGGCGAAGGCAAGACCAAGGGCCGGTTGAGGACCTTCTTGGATCACCTCGGCAATGGGGAGCATGACCCGGAGATCGTGCAGCTGCGAAGCGAGGTTGAGGACTGGGTTGGTACCTACCCCCTTCCGTGGGAGGCCAAGCCATAGGAGGCCTTGATATCGAGGATTAGAAAAGGGGGTGAGGGTAGGAATCTGTGGAAGGGCGACGGCAGCCCGTTTCGGATAGTGGGGAGGGATCTATACTGAGAGGTTTTGAGGGAAGGGCAAATGGGTTTAACAGTCATTCTTGTGCCTGGATTTGGATGGGGTGTATCGCGTACACGGTAAGCGAGATGTTGCTGCGTTGCTCGGGCCTTTTTAACATTCGGCGTTTGAGATTGGCATGTGGTTATGAAGTACAAGTAGTCGGCATTGTTACTAGTATTGGTCAACCGCTCAATCTGATATTAGGAGTTTGGGAGATTTTCGTCAATTGCCGACTGGTGGTAATTTTTTAGGCTGCCCCTATTTACTATCGGGTATGAGGTATTATGGGATGTGTGGGTTTGCTCGAGCTCTTGGGCTTCCTCTGGAGCGTATCAACAAACCAGACCTGTTGTGGCGTATAGTCGATGTGATGAAGTTAGTCGTTTCTTCGAGAAACCTAGTCATCCAAGAAGGATGGAGATTGCACTGTGGTGGTCGTTTGTCAGAAATGAGTTCATGCAACCCGTCCTGTCATGATCTGGACCACAGAGACGGGCACTCTTTTTTCAGTGGACGGTTTCACCAGCATGGACTTTACCTCAACCAGCGTACTACATGATGGGTTCGTGCTCTGGGGTGGGTTGTATTTTCATCGTTTTGTCCTTGCAACTCAGAACTAGCACAAAACTCAAGATCAACGTTCGGGACTCCACAGACCTTTTGAATACAAAACAGTCAATTGTGAGAGAATAGAATTGATACTTAGACTGAATGAAATATCGGGCCTAACTTCTGGCTAGATCTAGCAAAACAGTGGTGTTGGTGAAGTTCATCTGTCCTGTCCTCTTTTGATAACCAGCCACCCAAAGTTTCCAACATGATGCAAGACACTCCTGACCCCCTTTGACCTCTCAACCATGAGCACTACCCCTCCCTCTTCGGCCTCATGAAATGTAACCTTGTCTCAGGGCATTTGCCCAAACCTTCGCTCTTGCCCCAGACCCGCCCGCCACCAAAACCATGGACTGGACAACGTAGCCCCACCGCATCTTCCTCCCACGTTGCCTCTTCCTCCCTCGCAACCACTGAACCCAAGCCCTGAGCTCAATGTGGCTTCGAGCTCAAAATGAAATGATCGTACAAAAAAACAAATGTCAAGAGACAGAATCTCCTTTAAACACTCCCTCGGTAAGGGTCGAACTTACAGCCTCCAGATACCTATTTCACCGAGAAATAACAGTCTGACGCGCTAGCCAATTGCGCCACGAGGGATGCTAATTGTTGGAGAGTGATGTAAGTAACTACTCTTAAGATGGGTGGTCGATTGTTTCTGCTGCGACGATGGAAATGAGGTGCGATTTGTGGAAGGTAGATATCACTGCAATTTTAGCCTCCAAGGAGCAAACACTCACGTTGCACAAACCCACCCCTCGGCCAATCTCACCTTCAACCCTCGCCCTGACAGGCTCCGAACCCTTCCCAACACATCTCTAGCAGACCCGAAGACAATCGCGGGCAGTAACGGTCACCTTCAATATTGTATTGACTCTATATCCGGACATATCCCATCCGAGATCCCAGTCACATCATAGAATATATTCCCTTTATCCAAAACTACACCCAATTTTATCTTTCCCACTCAACCCGTCAGACCAAGTGCCTTCTCTACCGTGCTTCTCTTCCTAAAAGCCTGATAATACCCCTTTAGATGCTCCCCGGGGAAGACGTCCTCGCCGCACTCGCGAACAATATCATGCAGCACAGGCCACAACGCAAAGTCCGCCGGCGACGGCTGGGCTCCTCCGGCAATGTAGACTGCTACTTCGGCTGCCGAGTCTTCCTTCACGTCGGCATCGACGGTGGCTGGGACACGGGACGCAGCCTCCTCGGCGTACTTCTCCCACTCAGCGAGCTCCTTCTTCGCCCAGGCCCTGAGGCCGTCGGACTTCTTGCCCTGCTCCTTCGTCTTGGCATCCTCCTGGGCAGCGCGCCACTTCCCCAGGAGATCCAGCCCCTTCTGGAGACGCACGAAGCGCTTGGCTACCTCGGTGCCAACCAGCTGGTCGTAGCGTCTCCCCGCTCCGTAGACGGCGTCGAGATACCGCAGCACTGTCTCGTGCCCATCGACAACTGCCCTTCCGACATCGTTGTCCTCGAAGCGGACATCTCCCTCGACGCTGCCCTTGGCACACGATATACCCAATTCGGCCAAGGCAAATGCCACACGCGTGTTTGCCAGGGGGTCCTTACCCCCCGTGCAAAACCGTTTTGGTGTACCCATGTGCAGGACGTTGAACCCATCGCCGTACATGGCGTCCCAGTCAAACTCGCTGCTGTTGTTCTCGGCGCCAAAGGCCTGTAGCATGCGCACGGCTTCGGGTGTCTGCCCGTTGACTACTGGGCACGCAGACTCCTTGTCCTTGGAAACGGCCCCCTGGCCCCAGATGCGGGACTGGGAGTCGTTGAGAAACGTTCCAATCTGGCGAAAGGTAAGAGAGATACGTGCGCCGCCTCTAGCAAGCTCCGCAGCGGTCTTGTCGCGGTCGGAGCGCTTGTCTTGCTTGATGGCGTGCAGCCAGCGCTTGTTGGTCTCCAATCCCATGCGGCAGAGACTGTTATGCGGGAGTCCCGCGCGCTGGGTCTGACGCGCCGGGATCTTGGCCGTAGTTGAGTCATCGGTTTCGGCTGGCTTCCGGGCGGGCGAAGCGTCCTTGTCCTTGCGTTCCCTCTTGGTGCGGAAGACCATGGTGCGTTCAGCGCCTAGACTCACGTTGGCGATGAAGCTACCGCGAACAATATCGAGGGACTTGTCGCTGTGCTCGCTGATGTAATCGTTACCGCTGCGGTAGTGTTGGATCAAAACATGGTTCAGGGGGTGACCAAGATGCTTCTCAACCTCGTGCTTGATCGCAAGCACAGTGGGCGAGAAGGGAAGGAGTGGAGGGGCCTCATCTGAGGGATGACGGTAGACAGGCATGTTCCCTTCGTCGTCGACGGCGCCTTGAACGGCAACGCGGCGCGGGACCTCTCCGCCAAGGTGTGACATGCCAGCCCAGCACACCTCACGGAGTAGCTCATCGAATGCGCCATCGGCCAAGGCTGGCGGAAGGACATTGGAGATGATGGTGGTGTCGCCCTCGCAAAGGGGCTCGGAGGAAGTGGGTGCAGGTGCTTGCTGGTTGTCGGCCATTTTAGCTTTCGAAGCGTCGCTTGGTTGGTCTTTTTTGCTCGTCTTCTTGGATGTCTTTTCGATCGGCGGCAGCGGACTCGCAGGAGATTCGGGGGATTGGTTTGTGGACGGGGAGGATTCCTCGGGGCTCGCAGTCTTTTGTAGTTGTGGGGTCTTTATCCTGGTCTTTGTCTGCTCAGCGGGTTGCGCGCTGTCGCCGGCTGAGGGACGACGCGGTGATGGGCGGGGTGGGCCAACAGTGCGGTTGTTCGCAGCAGTAGCTTGCTTTGCAGCTCGTGCATCCTTCACCTGATTGTATATTGCGCGCAGTGACTCACCCTCGTCCGATTCCTCCTCAGATGTGTCGTCGCTGTCGCGTGCTTCCAAGGGCGCATCCGCGTCATGCTGAACGGTTGGTTCCGCACCCGCCGATTGGGATTGGCTGCGTGTTTTCGATTGGCTTCTAGCGTCTGCCAGAGGCTCAAGCGGCTGAGGCGATGGTGAGGGTTGCTGAGAGGGCTGCTGCGACGACTGCTCCGATGCATGTGGCTGAGTCGCACGAGCCCCCGACTTTTCTTCGGATGATGGGAACAAAGGGTCGGGAGAGGGACTGCTCAGACTCAGCGTTATCTTTGAGATGGCCGGCGAGAGGCCCGTTGAGCGAGAGTCCGGGGGCTGCATGGATCCATCCCGTTCGGTACTCCCAGTGTCCGCCTTCGTCTTTTTGCTCGCCCTCGCCCTTTCGCTCCTGACATCCCTCACTGGGGGAGTCATCGCTTGTTTCTTCTTGGGTGGGGGAAGATTCGCAATCACTTCGGCTGCCTTGAGCACCTCGCAGCCGGTGAGCTCTGTGAGCTGCCGCAACGCAGTGATATGCCGCAGCTCGTTCCGAAAGCCGCAACAGTCCTCGATGATGGTCATCTCATGACCATGTTTTCCCGCGTCCAGTGCCGTCGCATAGAGGCTGACGTTGCTCAAGGCGCCGCAGATGTACATCTCGGTGACGAAGCGCCCCCTGAGCATCTGGACCAGTTGCTGCTGCTCGGAAGCGAAAGCGCTGTAGTGTGTCTTTGTGAAAACCGTGTCCCGGCCCTCCGCCACGGCTTCCCGAACACTCGGGGCGAACTCAGCGCCAGATGTGCCCTTTCGGACACACAATGGCTTCTCGGCCTGGACGGAAACGCTCAGGAATGCTTCGTCGTCAGCCTCCAGGACGGCGGAATCGTGTGCCCTCGACACCGGGCGGCGACCTCGGGCCGGGGTTCTGCGGACAGGGATATCCGATACGACGACCTGGTCTCCATCAGGCTCGATAGGGCAATGGCGCTCAAACTCGGTGCGGATCCAGAACACGTCGCCGGCCCCGGAATCTCGAAAGGCCTTGGCGAATTCGAGGGTACGAGGCACAAAGCCATCCGGCTTCTGGACTGGGAGGGCCCCGTCCGGGGAGACAAAGTCATTCTGGAAATCGATGACCAGCAGGGCCTTGCGGGTCGCCACAAACGGGAGCGCCGCAAGGTTGATAGGGAACATGGTGGTAGGCATGGCTGCAGACCGGATTGGTGATGTCTAAAGCTTGGGAAAGTGAGAGCAAAACAGTGTACGCTATTCCTGTTGCTCGAGGGTCAGCAGAACGCCCCCTCCAAACTAGAAGATTGGGCTTTGCTTCGCAGACGGTGAAGCTATGACTGACAATCATCCCAGTCATTCATGCTGCGTGGGTGGGTGGTGCAAGGAAACCTGTCATATCGAGGCGATGTTGTTACAGAAGACGGGCGTAGGTTGAGGGAAGGCAGCGGTTCAACAAAGACATGCTGGCCGTGAGAGCGAGAAGGAAGGATGCCGCAGGACGTTTTGTCGGATATGGAACCAGGTTATTGAGGAAGAAAAAAGCATTCGTCAGGTAACCGTTCCTGGACGTGAGGGAAGGCAACGCGGACGGATCGGCAGTGGTGATTTGTGCGGAGGGGGGCGGAAGCTGGTTCGGCTGCTGGCAGAGCGGTGGACAGTGGACACAGGCTGACGACGAACGGGGGGTCACGGCGAATGTATAATTGGCGTCTAGGGTAGCCCGGCAGGGTTGCTGGGACATGAGGCTCGATGCTGCGGTTTTGAGTCCAGTCCTTTGACCTGCAACCGGTTCGGAGCTAGGGTCGTGGAGAGACGCAGATCTGGACGGGGCCTGACGCGGGGAGGGTGGCAGATATCGAAACCTCGAAACCTGGCCTGTGCCTGTTGGGGCAGCAGATGCGAATAAACCTGTGGCTTGACGGGCGGCCTGGCCAACGTGCAAGCGGAGAAGGATATGGGATGGCCAGTCAGACGATCCGATCCACGCCCAGTCGGGGCGGGCATTTTTGAACGGTCGACAGTCCGGCGACGCTGAGCTGTGGGCTCGGGTGGGTGGAATGGTGGGGTAGAAAAACCTCTCTCGGACTTTGGCCCATGGATGCCAAGAGCCGCCGTCCCTCCGGCCTTACCCTACCCCTTAGCTGAGAGTCTTTCCTGAAGCCAACCCCCTGTCTTTGTCTCTGCATGTTGGTTGACAAACGGCTCAACAACGCCGCCCGCGGACGACGTGGGATGATTTCCCGTGGTTGAAGCTCTGCTGTGGCCTCTGCGCGCCGCAACGCTCATGCATGTGTTAGCTAGCCCTAGGGCTGCTGCTGGTGGGCCTGATCCTCCCATGCCATCTCATGCCCTCTCCTGCCTCTCGCACTTCAACAACTCTCATGTGGTCGTGGATGTCGCCGCCACCTCAGCCGTCTCGATCCACATCCGTCTGTGGCACCCAAGGGTTGTGGTTTTTGTCTTGCGCCTTCCCGCCGCTGACGATGCAACGGCAGCAACCTAAAAATCTGTCTCAATACATGCAGGGCAACCTGACGTGCAACCAGACATCGAGGCCGATGCTGTGCGAGGACGGGTACGTCGTCTACCTGTACGTTGCAATGTTCAGATGACCTCGGCAACATCCTCGCGCAGGCAGGTGGCATGGATTTGGTCTTGCAGAGCGCCAATCTCAACCCGAAAGTTGTTCAAATCTGGTTCGTCGTATCGATCCAGGGGGTCTGATGGAACGTGAACTCTGGCCAGAAGATCG